CTCTACACTTCTATCACTTATTATAGGTGCACTAACAATACGTTGTTTCGATTATTTCGAATCGTTCGTATTTAACTTCAAGCGATCTTACAGATTAGTTATTTGTTAATTTATAAATAATATTAATAATTATGACTTACCATATCGGGAAAGATAATTTATGTTATTTATTCACATATGATTTTTCACAATTTTGCAATAACAAACGAACCCAATGAAATGAGAAAAAAACCGGGATACATACAAACTCTTGTGATCATGCGCAGCATGTAAAGTGTGAGACCCCTGAAGGAAGCGACGTGAACTTAATTTCAGTTCAAATCTGGCATTCAACGGTCGCTATTGTACAGAGAACATGAGAAGCATCGAATCATAACATAATCAATCTGTTGAGTGCTAAGAGATCGAAAGTGAACAGAATATCTGATAAAAAATTAACGACGACACGCAATACAAAAATGGAAAAGCAACAGATACAAGTTTTCGTTCGCGTGAGGTAATCTCTGACGTGCAAACTGTTTATATGTTGAAGACGATTAAGAGGCAGTGTCACATTGATGTTGTTCTGTTTTACAATAGGCCAGTAAATGATGCCGAGAGAGCTGGTACGTCAATGATAGTTGTTGATACACCATCTAACAATGAGGTAGTTGTTCGTGAAAAACCTCATGATAAAATTGCAAAAAAATTCACTTTCAACAAAGTATTTGGGCCTAATTCGAAACAAGTACGTATTTCAATAAAAGCCATGTATCACAATAGAAATCTGATGGTTAATCAAATTTTTTAGACAGAAGTATACAATGCAGTTGTCAGTCCTTTACTTGAGGAAGTTCTGGGTGGATATAATTGCACGGTGTTTGCCTATGGGCAAACTGGTACTGGAAAAACTTTTACAATGGAAGGAACTGACACTGACCCATCAGTACACTGGCAAACGGTAGGTTTAACATCTTATTCCTGTCGTTACTGATTTTTAAATAAATAACGTATGGTAATGTGTTTTGTAAAACATAGGATACGAATGCTGGCATTATACCAAGAGCTTTGAGTCATTTATTTGATGAACTCCGTGTATTAGCAGTGGAGAGCTATTTTGTGAGGGTCAGCTTTTTAGAACTATATAATGAGGAAATTTTTGATTTGTTATCATCAAATGATGACAGTACTAAAATAAGGTAATAATATTTTGTATGCTCTTTTACACATACAATGTTTAATCAAATAAATGTAACGTTTCGAAAGGATATATGATGATCCGACAAAAAAGGGAGCTGTAATAATACATGGCTTAGAAGAAATGCCAATCTGTAATAAGAATGAAGTATTTAAAATCCTCCAGAAGGGATCAGAAAAAAGACGAACAGCACCTACGTTAATGAATGCACAGTCAAGGTTCATAGTGAATTTGTAATTTAAATAATTATTTATGTATTCAGTATTCCATTTAATATTTTATTTACATTGTAGTCGATCTCATACAATATTTTCTATTACTGTACATATAAAAGAAGCTACTACAAGTAGTGAAAATTTATTGAAGACGGGAAAATTAAATTTAGTTGACTTAGCTGGTAGCGAAAATGTTGGCAGATCTGGAGCTATCGACAGAACAGCCAGAGAAGCTGGCAACGTTAATCAATCTTTGTTAACTTTAGGACGAGTTATAACAGCGCTCGTAGAAAAAACCCCTCATATTCCTTATCGGTAATGTATGCAAACATAAGTTTCTGAATTGTGTTATAACAAAATATCTGAAATAAATAAATTATTTTTAATGTACAGAGAATCAAAGTTGACACGACTACTTCAAGAATCCTTGGGTGGATGCACAAGAACTTCTATAATTGCTACAATATCTCCTGCCAGTATTAATGTTGAAGAAACATTGTCGACTTTGAACTATGCTCACAGAGCAAAGAATATTACGAACCAGCCTGAGATCAATCATAAATTCTCCAAGAGGACTATGCTTCAAGAGTATACCGGAGAGATTGCGAGACTAAAAAAAGATTTACTAGCGTGTCGTGAACGAAACGGAGTTTATCTGACACAGAAAAGTTATAATGAAATGCAATCTCTCATAGAATTTCAAAATAAAGAGATAGAAGAGAAATTGATTCACATTAATGCACTTGAAACATCTATGAATACGAAAGAGGTAGCTATTTTGATTTTTCACAATGTCTGTTGCGTCTTACAGTTTCTTTCATATAATCTTGTCGTTTTTCCATTTCAGCAAATATTCAATGAATTGAAAACAAGAAACTCTGAACAAGCAAATGAATTATTACACGTCGATAAAAACTTGAAGGAGACAGTAGAAAATTTAGATCATTTATCATCATGTTTGTTAATGACGGAACAAGAGAGAGAAGAGCAAGAACATCTCGTCGAGAAACACGCGGCTACTGAAAACGTTCTGTACTCACAAGTACAAGAGGTGTTAAATGTTGCTGATACAGCTACTACAGATGTGCAGAAACTTCACGACAAAATTTACCGTAAAATGTAATGATCTAAGAGATAAACTGTATGTATATGTGAATTTGGAAGTTAAATATGTTTTATGATTGTAGGCAAATACAACAACAAAACAGCCGCCTTGGCCAGCAATTTAAAGCGAATATTAACGAACGATTAAAAGCGATCGAAAAAGATGAGCTTTTAATGAATATTGAAAATATGATGAAGTTTCATTCATTTATGAAAAATGATTTTAGTAAGTAGAGTTTTTAATCGAAATATATTCATCAGTTGAAGTAAAATATTTAATATCTTCCTGTTTTAGACGCGCGAATTCTTTCATTCGCAGAGGATATAGATAAAAATATTCAGTTTGTATCTGTGAAACTCATTGATCGCAAGAAATGTATGAAAGATCAATTAATGAAGTTCATAAGTGATTCTGTACGTAATAAAATAAATTTGATTTTATTTGTCATGGATTAAACTCCATAATAATACATATTATTTTTATATAGCATTTAAGGTATCAGCAGTTACTTGAAAATGAAGGGAAGACTACTGCCGATTTGACCGAGAAAAAACTTGATATATTAAATAATGTGTCACTTCTGATAGCAGAGAAAATCCATCAGTTAAAAGAAAACAAACTAGCCACGGATTTCTATGCTTTTAAAACTGACATTTCTAAAAAATATAACGATTTAATCGAATGTACAAAACGATTAACAGTACTGAGCTCTAAACGGTTGGTCGAAGACCGTGACCGTTCAATTAAAAATAAGGTTGAGATTCAAGAACTTGTCGAGCATATTAGACAAAGCCAGAAAGATATCTTAAACAAACAAAGGAATTTTGCGAAGGTTTGTTGTTACTTCAACAATTAAAAATATTCTGCTACTGATACTTTATATTTGTAGATGATGGAGGACTTACAACGTTGTTTCAATGAGATGCAGACAGAAGAAAACAAAATTCATTGTTTAACTCACGACACATTGAATAATATTGATGGAATTTCTGAAATTATGAATAAACAGATTTTAGATAACTACAACGTAAACACAGAAAGGGAAAATAGTTTACAAGAAACATTAGAAAATAATTTGGAAACAGTAAAACAAATCGTCAACGAAAAAACAGACAAGGTACTGAACATTATATTGCATTTATGAGAAAATTGCATAACAAAACAATTCGCTTTTTTTTTATAGGCTCAATTAGCGGCCGAAAATATAGCACAGTGTAAAATATTAATAAGTCAGTTCCAAGAAGATTTAACTAACAATTGTAATACATTCATAGAGTACAGAAACTCTGTGGAACGTAATATTACGGAAGTACAACAAAAAGCAAAAAAAAGTGAAAATCTTCTGTTATCAACTATCAATGTAAGTTATTTTAATTTATCACAGCTACAGGTTTATTTTACAGGTGATTCAATTTGCAGAATATCTACACAAAATTGTACACTATTGGTAACGAGCATAATAAATCTTTGGATCAATATAAAATAGGATTTATAGATGTACTAACGAAAATGAGTGAAGTATTTGAGGACGAAAACGATAGTCTTGCGAATGTAAATGATAATATTGTTGCAAACATGCAAACAATACATGAAGAGATCGACAAATTATTTACAGGCGATTATGACACTCCGACAGGTATCAAATATTGTGTTATGTTAAAATGCTAAAGGATTTATTCTAATTCTGATTCATATTAAATAGGTTCAACGCCTGTGAAAAGGAACTTTCAATATTCTAGGAAGCTCGTTAAAACTTCACCACAAGATCAAATTCTCAGAAGATTTAGAGAAACGCTTCATGAAATTGAACATACAGAGAACGAAGTAAGAATTTCGGGAAGAAACATTTCATTCTAAATTAAATAAATCGTTTTACTTATTCAACATGTTCTTTTCTAGCCGGAAGATATATTAAATAATGATACACCCACAAAATCAATTGAGGGTACAAGCTGAAAATTTACTTGGAGATATTATTGTAGAATTTAAGGTAATTTTTATATTCTTTGAGTTTAAACTGTAAATATATTATATTTTTTTAACTTTATACAGAAATAAAATCGTAACAATATAGAGATAAAATCAGCTAGAATCTTTCTGTCTATATGGAGGAATTGACACAGGCGTTGTCACTCTTTAGTAATCTCTCCTCAGTGATTGTAGACATCTTTTTATTTAAACGTTTAGCAGGGATCTTACGACTCATAAAACCTTAATGAATGATCCTTTAATGACTCATTGGGAGATAAAATTAATCGAACGCATGAGAAATAGACAGTTTAGGCGTTGAAAAAAATACGACTTTATTACATCGCGTTGCAAACATTTCTTTGGATAGCACATATGTTTACTGTGTTACTCGGCAGTAAAACACAATTTTTCCCCTTGAACACGTTAATATAAAGACAATATACAATTTACATTGTATAAAATAATATAATACATAAGTGTACATATTATAAATAAGTACATATAAGTTTATATACATACGTTACAAATTTTATGACTCACATTATTATTTTCGGATGTCTTATTACTATTATCAGTAATTCCTACTGTTGTTGCTAACGAGTCGAGTATGCTGGGTTTTATTAACATGTTAAAGAGATATCGGTTCCTATTTATGACTACCTATGGTACAAAACTGCATTACATAGCTCTGTCACGATTTGGCATGCTACAGTTTTGTTTGTACACGTAATTGATAAAAAAAGGGATACTTTTACGCGTTTTCTTTGTGCCATCAATATTTCCGACGGAAACGACCTTTTAGTATCACTTGATACTCGTAGAACATATTCCGTGTTGTTGTCACATATTTCTCGGATTTTACTTAAGATATTTTCTATTATTCTAAACGAAAAAGACAAAGCGAATCACTTATCGTTATTAACATTTGCATAAAATATAAAATTGGCAGCACCCGTTGGCAATACTAAAAATGCAACGATAGTTCGAATAAAAAATGAATACTTTACATGACATAATTGTCAGTATAATACAGAGTATCTGCCACGGAGCCATAGGTTCTATTTAATACATTATTCGCATTCAACGCACTATATACAGATTGCACTCCCGCACGGGTGTTCCGGCTTCGTTGAGAATTCTGTGCTTGAACCTGAGAATGACCCATAAAAGGGCCTTTTCCGACAGCAACAGAAGCGATCTATCAATTCTGATAAATCGCTTCTGTCGACGTCGTCTTTGTAAAGTCCACTGGACGCCTCGTCCGTGCACGCCGCAATAAACGTTTGCAAATCATTTTTCGGGAAACCGTCGCGATAATAAATCTTTATCGTGTCGTAAGCGTCCATTATCACAGAAATGAATAAACTCAGAACGACGTATATGTACAACGAGATGAACGTATACAAATAGATCCTCGAGTACCACCACAGCATCGACGACTTGAACGACGTTATCGTGAACGTGGCAAACAGTTCGTCGCCGTTAATAAGAGCGAACAGGCATTCGGAAGTAGTGGCGAGTGTGCGAAATTTGATATGATACGGTCCTAGGATTAGCCATCCGCAGAACGTGAAGCCGGCATAAATTAGGATCGCACATATTAAAAACCGTGCCACCTTCGGCGCCGCCTTTTTCAACGTTAAGATAACAACGTTGTACGTCTTGAAGAAGCCGAGGTATCGCAACACGCCGAACCAGACTAGCAAGTTCCCCGTGCCGAGGAATATGCTACAAACGTTCCAGTGATCGTTACCGAATTGTTTACGTTCAATCTGTTCCTTTATAGCCGAGCCCATGATGATTAAAACATCGTTCACGATGATCATGATGTACCACAAATTTAAAAACTCTAATCTCCCTTCGAGGCTCAACGTCTTCCCATACGTCTTATTGAAGAAATTCATCGTTTCGAATTTTAATAACTGCGCCCTGTACAATGCCCTCGAGCACAGAACGAGAGACACAGAACAAATGATGATCACAAGCAAGTTCAACAGCGTTCTTAAAGCAGACTCGATGTAACTATCCGTTATGTAACGCGTGTCACCTTTGCATTCTAATCTCTTTGGTTCTGCGTCTAACGAGAGCAACATTTGCCCGTCGAAGTCACGGTTATCGAAATTGATGACTATATTAAATTGATAACAATCGGGAGCAGTCATCGGTCCCGCCGCCTTCAAGTTAACCGTTTTCACGGCGAATAACAGATCAGCTTTAACGAGGGCCGAGAAATTCACGAGGATACTTTCCCGAGATAACAAAAGCTTCGAAGTACTGATCTCGGTGTAATTCTGACGAGTTATATTTATGCAGGTCTTCACGATCTGCTTATCGAACACGTAGCTCTCGTTAAAACCGAATATGATACCTTCTTTGTAATTGTATAAGCAAAGCGTGACCGGGGCTACCGAATTGTCTTCCGCGGTGTACGAATAAGACCCGATCGCGTTATTAAGATTATAGTAACCGTCTAAGGCGTGATCAATTGTTTGGTAAAAGTCATCTTGCTTGTAAATAGCCAATGGACCAGTCGCTGGCGGGTAAGCAGGTACCTGAAAGCAAAGTATAACCAGACTTAATACATTTTAAGAGTCCGACTGCATAATGTTTAATATGTACATAATATTAAATACGTACCTCTTGCGTGGCATCCCATCCTCTGAGGAATAAATGCGAGAAGGCGATGCGATTGTCCCAGGCGTAATTAACGTGCATGTAATCGCTATGCGCGAATAGACACAATTGTATTGTGACTAATACGATCTTAATAACTTGCACGAAGAACTTATATGGAAAACGCCGTTTCGCTTGCCATTTTTCTATGGGATTCATAAAAAAGAATTTCAATTTCCTACGCATCCTCTCCTCTAGATACGAATCCATATTGGAGACAGGCTGATCTCTCAACCGGTGGTGACTGCAAATGAGAACACGACATACAAATGTGAATATTTACTTAAACGAATGCGTTTACTATAACTACGAAATTCCGTCAGATCTATAATACAGATTGTACTGCTTTATCTCAAGCACTTTCGATTTTTTATCTGGTTCGTGACAACAAAATTGATTAGGAAAGATATACATAGTTTTCGATAATCATTTTGATTTAGCAATGAAAATTAACGAAATATTTGTGGGCGCATTTAAAGTGAAATAAATGTGACGCTGTTGTTAACAAAGGAAAACACAGCTGACACACAAGAATGCTTAACAATGATGGTAGATCATATGACTCAAGATAAAATAGGACTGGATTATCGTCGAATAGTTCACGGAATTGAGAGGAGATCAGTAAATAGTGCGATTATCTTACGAACTTTGAACCGATATTTTCGTTAAGCAGTTCGTGTTCGGTGGGTTGATCTTCTTCGCTGTCAGGCCCGTTGCTCCACGACTGATTCCTGAGGAGGTTACCCCTGGAGTCCTCCCTCAGATTCCTCTTATGTGGCTCCGTCATTCTCCTCGTCGACAGTTAAACGAACTCGGTCTATCGATGGAAACGATTTATCCCGCGGAATTGTCGTCCCAGTTCCCGACGGACGATGAAAGGCCGAGCTGTTCACATGCGTCGATCTGCGTGGCAATGCGAAAAAAATTACTGACACGAGCAACACCAGCCTCGGCCACGTGATCGCGTTCAATGAAACGGAGACGAGATAAAGCGCGGGACGTACTGGTTTGTAATATGCGTTGAAGAACAATTCCAGCGGTCTAACGATGCATCTAACAGCGTCCATCGCAGGCCATCCACTTCGCGTTCACGTATTCAGCTCGACTGATCGACACGCTACGTCGGCCATTGAGTCAACCAGCTGATCGCGGAGTGGGGGCAGTTAAATGGAGGCGAGGTGGAAGGAGGACTAATTGTTTTCGTGGTTAAGCAAGAGTAAACGTGTGATAAACAGTCGATTCTTAATGGATTTACGCTTGGTGAACGTTCACAGTGAAATAGTTTGTACATAAACAACGCACGTGTGGAATACTAAGGTAATTTCGTTTGTATAGACTATTAGTGCATTCCGATTCATTCCGCATGTAAACAAATCGAGTTTGAAAGTTCGCCGACTGACAATGAGATTTCATACATACAAATTTCTGAATTTACATATAAAAGAATATTGTCTTACAATCCTTGCTTATTTAGTGACGTTCTAATCTCGTATTATGTCATTCGGACCATGAATCATGGTTTTAAACGAGTACACGTGCATTCGATAAAAATTGAATCTCGATTTCGTCACAAATGAGTCCTTAACCCCTTAAGGACATGTTTTTACAAAACTCTGTGAAAATTTATGGAATTCTTGTATTTCGTATTTAATAAATAAGTAAGTGGGAAGATTTGAAGGTAAATTTGATATCGAAAACTGAGATGCTTGACGAATTAACAATTTTGATCAATTCCTTTACAATAATAGTAGTAAATTACAATTTTCTGACACTGTCCGCTTGGACGCACGTGCGGTGTATATAAATTATTCAATAATCGAGCGCAAGGATTCGTTATTGTTCCCGTACATCGATACGTAGGTATTCAAACGATAGCGAACAGGTGTCCATAGAACGAAGTTACGAATGCTATTCATATTTATTGAATTTATGTAGGTAGGAGAGTGGGACATTTCCCGTGGCTTGCAACAATGAGGGAGATTCGAACGCTGGTCAGAGGAGCTGTACGATAAATCGTCGGGGTACGGAACGGGCAGCGTTCAAAGGTAAGTGCATAACAATATTTGCGGCGTTCTTCATTCGCGACTGAAACAGGTTCGAGATTGGAAGTCGACGAACCGTGGACCGGAGGGCGAGGACAAATTGGATTGCCCGGCGACAGACAGGTGAAAAAAAGAATTTATTTCGCTGCGGCGATGGTAGGCAGGCGAATGGTCTGCGTGCTGGTATCGAATGATAGGGTAGTGTTGCGCGCGTTTCTCCGTTCGAGAATCGGCGCGCGTCCGCCGGAGCACCTTCTGCGCCAGCGTATCGGGGGTTCGCAACACACACGAGAGTGTGGTGCGTCCTCCCTCGCGCGCCAAGTGCCTAGGAGAGAAAGCGCAGCGACAAAGCCGAGCTAAGCTCTCGGCCTTTCCCGACCGACCGTAGGCGCAGTCTCTCGTCGTCAGTCTTTCCCGTCTCGAGTCACGAGACGGTACACTTCCGGCATTAGATCCACCTTGGAGCGTCGTCCGCCCTCGTCTCGCCGCCCTTAGCTCGTCCCTGGTCATCGACCTGTCACGTTGTCCGGTTCTCGTGATCCCGCCGTGTATCCGTGGTGATATCAGTGGCCGCTTCCGTTCGCGTGGTGCAAGATTCTTATCGACGCGCGGAATAACAAACACGGCCGCTTAGCACGTTTCCTCACACGCTCCTTTACCCTTTTGCTGGTAAACGCGCCTCGTGCTCCGCACTGTGTGCCGCCGTCGAGCCGCGCCGCGCGACTGTAAAACCGAGCCTGACAGAAGAGCGTGAGAAGCATATTCGTATTTAATAAATAAGTAAGTGGGAAGATTTGAAGGTAAATTTGATATCGAAAATTGAGATGCTTGACGAATTAACAATTTTGATCAATTCCTTTACAATAATAGTAGTAAATTACAATTTTCTGACACTGTCCGCTTGGACGCACGTGCGGTGTATATAAATTATTCAATAATCGAGCGCAAGGATTCGTTATTGTTCCCGTACATCGATACGTAGGTATTCAAACGATAGCGAACAGGTGTCCATAGAACGAAGTTACGAATGCTATTCATATTTATTGAATTTATGTAGGTAGGAGAGTGGGACATTTCCCGTGGCTTGCAACAATGAGGGAGATTCGAACGCTGGTCAGAGGAGCTGTACGATAAATCGTCGGGGTACGGAACGGGCAGCGTTCAAAGGTAAGTGCATAACAATATTTGCGGCGTTCTTCATTCGCGACTGAAACAGGTTCGAGATTGGAAGTCGACGAACCGTGGACCGGAGGGCGAGGACAAATTGGATTGCCCGGCGACAGACAGGTGAAAAAAAGAATTTATTTCGCTGCGGCGATGGTAGGCAGGCGAATGGTCTGCGTGCTGGTATCGAATGATAGGGTAGTGTTGCGCGCGTTTCTCCGTTCGAGAATCGGCGCGCGTCCGCCGGAGCACCTTCTGCGCCAGCGTATCGGGGGTTCGCAACACACACGAGAGTGTGGTGCGTCCTCCCTCGCGCGCCAAGTGCCTAGGAGAGAAAGCGCAGCGACAAAGCCGAGCTAAGCTCTCGGCCTTTCCCGACCGACCGTAGGCGCAGTCTCTCGTCGTCAGTCTTTCCCGTCTCGAGTCACGAGACGGTACACTTCCGGCATTAGATCCACCTTGGAGCGTCGTCCGCCCTCGTCTCGCCGCCCTTAGCTCGTCCCTGGTCATCGACCTGTCACGTTGTCCGGTTCTCGTGATCCCGCCGTGTATCCGTGGTGATATCAGTGGCCGCTTCCGTTCGCGTGGTGCAAGATTCTTATCGACGCGCGGAATAACAAACACGGCCGCTTAGCACGTTTCCTCACACGCTCCTTTACCCTTTTGCTGGTAAACGCGCCTCGTGCTCCGCACTGTGTGCCGCCGTCGAGCCGCGCCGCGCGACTGTAAAACCGAGCCTGACAGAAGAGCGTGAGAAGCATGGTGGATCAACAGCAGACGGAGCAGCAACAGGAAGCCGTGCCAAGCGTGGTGGAGCTGAACGTGGGCGGCGTATTTTATACCACCGCGCTCACCACCCTCACCCGGGAGGGCGATTCTCATCTCGCGGCTTTGTTCTCCGGTAAAATACCGGTGGAGAAGGACGCCAAGGGGAAATACTTTCTGGACCGCGACGGGGTACTCTTCCGCTACGTCCTCGATTTCCTTCGCAATCAGGCGCTCGTCCTGCCGGAAGGGTTCCGAGAGAAGGAACGGTTGAAGCAAGAGGCGAATTTCTACGGGCTACCAGGTCTGGAACGTGCCATTCTGGAGAACGGCGGCAAGTCTTCCGGTTCTACGACCTCGTCGGAGAAGAGAGCGCCCGGGTATATAACCGTCGGATATCGTGGCAGCTTTGCGTTCGGTCGCGAGGGTCTGCCGGACGTGAAGTTCCGGAAGCTATCGAGGATCCTCGTTGGTGGTCGCGTCACCCTTTGCAGAGACGTGTTCGGGGAAACTTTGAACGAGAGCCGCGACCCGGACCACGGCACCAGGGATCGTTACACCTCGAGATTCTTCCTAAAGCACAACTTCGTCGAGCAGGCTTTCGACATGCTTCAAGAACAAGGATTTAAACTGGTCGGTAGCTGCGGCTCAGGCACCGCCGGCAGCAATTCAGAACAGTTGAAGCCCGGAGTGGACTCTGAGGAGAATCGTTGGAATCATTACAACGTGTTCGTCTTCGTCCGGGAGTAAACAGAATTCATCGTTCTTCCTTGGTATGAATTAGATAATCAGTCGGATCTGTTACGAGTAATCGGTGTCCTTTCGACGCGATCCACGGTGATCCAACAGTTGTCGGCGTTCAAACGGAATCCTCGAATCGGGGAATTAGTTTATCGAAGACTTCTACTCACGGGACGAGATCGCAACCGGTAGGACAAAGAGTAGATGAATTTTCTTATCGTTACGACCATTTGCATGTACCGATCGAACTCATCTGAGCTGTCGAACGATGAACAAGTTCCACGGTCGTTCCTTAGACCGGGAAGATTCATCGAAAGACACGTAACATTGTCGGTAGTTGGACAATGCGCGTTTACGAATCGGAATTAATAGATCTGTCTCCGACACGAGTACTTGAATATCGGTCGGAACGGCGAAACAAAGCCAAGCTCATTCTGCTTAATTCCGCGGTAATTGGCCGCGATACGAACACCGAAGGGGAACAGAAACTTGGGAAACGATGAAGGAAACAACCGCTGGCTCGTCGGACCGACGTTTATTTCAACGTTTCACTAGCCGGAGAAGAGTGTGAAAATTTTATTGACCTGCCAGGCGAGAACCTCTGACGACCAAGAGAAAACGGAACATGTTGGACAATAGAAAATCAATATTTAATCGTCGGATTCAGACAAAAGTTTAAACGAGAGGTACTTCCGGTCTTTTTATCTTTTCTTCAGTAATCGTTGTTGCTGTTGTAATTCAATTCAGGCTCGCTGAACGTCAGAAGAATGCCAGCTGGATGATAATGCCGGAATTCTCAAACAATGAGAGAAGACGCAGGAACGTTCTTTCCCATTTTCCACCCGCTAATACACAGAAGAGAGAAGAGAAACTCGTATCGACTAATTAACACGCACGTTTGACAATGATTATTTAGAATGAACGGAGTGTTCATCTATTATTACTGTTCGTTAATCTGTACCAACGCACGCCGTCGAATCGGCGAACTGGAAGAAAGGAACGGAGGATGAATCAAGATCCAGCTTGAAACAACAAACGACCGGTCGACGGGCTTTCTCCGGGGGTCGAACTTGATACTGAACAGTTTGCTTGCATGCCACTGGAATGGGTCTCGGGTTTACCTATCGTGTAATGTAGATCGTGTGTACCTACGTATGTACAAGCTACCAACGACAGTGTTAGCACGTGTCAAGCGGCTCGAGTAACAACCACTCATTTATAACGCCTCTCTTTTCAATCGTTCTTAGTTTGACTCTTATCAGAGTTAAGCAGACGAGTGGCTTACGTTCTCGTGTTCAGAAAATCGTATGATTTGATGGATGGAAGTGATCGTTCGTCGTTTCTCAGGCTGTGTACAAAATCGTTTGATCTGTTTATGAAAATGGAAGTTTTAAATGTGAATGAGCTTCCTGTGCGACGGAAAGGGCGAAATAGCCGTCGCGTCGCTGCGACCACGGCTAGACGAGACCTGAATTTTCGCTGCTCCTCGGTTTTTCCTTTTTCTTTCATGAAAAGGAACTGTTTCTAGAATAGATAATACAGACGACTGTGTCGTTTGTGTTCTGTTGTGATTTTTGTATTCGTTATGTTGGTTCTAATTCAAAGGAACTATTCTGTTGACTTTTTAATATAGTATTTAATTAAGATTGTATGAGTTCTTATATAAAAACAAAAGGAATTAGGCAAAGGATGGAAATTTCAATAATTTCAAAAGCACTGTATAAAATTTTAGAAATTTTGCGTTGAATTCTCATGTCGAATGACAGAATTTTCATTTCATTTATAAAGAAATTATGCAACAATATAATTATAATTTTTGTTGAATTCTCATGCCGAATGACAGAATTTTCATTTCATTTATAAAGAAATTATGCAACAATGTAATTATTATTTTTTGTAAAAGTTCATTGCTTGAAATATTGGACATTTTTATTACATGTCTTAAGATTTTGGTAAATGGATGGCTCATGCAATCTTAAACCATCGACCTGAAATTATTATAAAATGCATAATTTTGTTCTTGTTTACTAATATATTTATGTGATAAATTTGGAAGGTTTATAAAATGCAGCATGAGAGAAGATGTATGGGAGATGTCGAAGATAGAAAGGAAAGTATATTAAAAAATGATATTAGTTTCACTTTTTACTGTTCACAGTGAAGCTAATTTCTATTGATGATATCAGTAATCAAGTTCGACGAGCAGCAAATTAGACGAGATTTAAATATTTACACGGTACTCTGGTTTATAAAAAAATATACGAGAATTAAACGAACGAGCTCGCCCGATGAATATTCAATTATTTAATGTATCGTACGGGATTCAATCTATCCGGTTACCTCGGGTTTGTTTTATTCCACACTTGAGAGTTTAACGCGCAGATCGAATTGATACAATTTTCAGACGGCCGTTTTTCTCCCGAGGAGACAATCTTATCGTCGATTCACGCGGACATAGATTCCCTTCTTCCGGTACACTAGTTCTTATTAGATTCCAAATAGAATTATGTACGACGTCACGTTGCATTCGCTCCGAATCGTTCATGGACGCAAATCCCCCGAGGTGGCAAACGTGAAATTGTAAATTCGGCTACCACCGAGTAAATTCAGATATCGTCGACACCGATAGGATAAAAACTGTACGTCGATTCCCGTGAATATTAATTCGTCGTCGACATTGTCTCCGCGTTACTAAGAATAGCGATCTTCCATTTTTACACGTCTTCAGTTATTTTCACTTGAATCATTTTTGGGTGCTTTTCCCTTTTCTAGATTCTGCCTATCTTCGAACCGATCGGATTTATCGATGTGTAAAGCAACCCGGGAGTGGTGGTTTGTTAAAGGCGATACTTCTCACCGGGAACACTGAAATTCGGTTGGGACAAAGCTGACCTTTTGCGCTTTGTCAATTGCACGGTTCATTGATAACTCGGACGTGTCAAAGGACGTACGGACGGACGTTCCAGCCCCCGGGATACGTTTCAATTTCGGGAAAACAACTGACTATGTAAAACACACGTTGCTACCTCGCGGAGAGCCGCGTGCATTATTCCATAGAAATCCCCAGTGTCGCTCGCAGGCGGGATATATTTTTTCTTTTTTTTTTTGTTTTTTGTTTTTGGGAAATCGATGGAGTGGCACACCGGCGACTGGTTCGACGAGACTTGTTTTCTGAGAATGGCCTTTTTCAGTGCGCAGCATTTTTCGTCGTCAGTTCCACCCCCCCTCGGCAAACGTATGCATGCAGTCTCGCGTATCGTCGCCGATCTCCCGTCTGATTCATCGGTAGGAAGCTTAGAACGATATCTAGTTAAATAGCGACAGAGGCGAACCGCGAAATGGACGTTCCTTGAAATATTTCATTGTCTAACTACGACTACGGGTACTTTCATAGGTTACTTATCGTAAGTAGAAGGGCGTCTGTGCGTTTGGCAATTCCGATTTCGTACAACAGAGTACAAAACGTGCACAGAACATGCGAATATATACATAAACTAAAATATATGTTCTAACGTTTAGGGGAACAATCTGAAAAAAAAAACTGTATTTAGAATTCACTTTAGTTCTGCGTCCATAGTCGAATGATTAAAACACGTTTTTCACTTATCAGAGTTGAATATCTGAGGTGTCTTTAAGGAGGCTGGGTAGAACAATTGCAGGGCAGGCGGTGAGAGGGGTAGTCCTATGCTTATACATGGGTGCTCTATCGTGATACCAACTTTAGATAAAACAATTTGAATTCGTTAAATATCGTATTTATCAATGAATTTACAAAGAAATTAGTATCAAATAACTTTTTTTAGTGTTAAGAATATAAACACGTCCTCGCGATAGACATAAAAGTTAATATTATTGAATTAAAAATATGTTTCATTGAGTTGGATCAGTTATACGTGAGAATCCTATTAATATCTTCCCTTTTCGTTCAATTATCTAAACAATTACATTGTAAATTCGCATTTTTCTTCTTTCAAATTGTTAAAAAATGTTCGAATATTCTATTACACTTTAACTCTTAACGATGTTACCATTTTTAAAAACTGTATTTTAGAATAATGACAAGATTTCTTGTATCTCCCATAAGAGCTCGTGTATAAGGATATAAGTTTGACATAGATTTATTTACAAACTACGTTGTCAATCGTTCTGAAACTTTCACACAATATTTTTCATGCTTCTACTAGTAGATTAAAATAATTTTCAAAACGATTTTATCATATTCATTCGAGTACCCAACCTCCTTAATATCAGAGACAGTAGATTGTTTTGTACGAGAAATAAATGAATGCCATTTTAATGGCCATACATTTTACTTGTTCAGAAAATGTACAGCTAGTAACAATGAAATTGAGCCAGTTATGTGCATGTGTTAGTTTTCCCTAGGAGACAAAATTCAATATAATCAATATTTTTCATGCTTCTACTAGTAGATTAAAATAATTTTCAAAACGATTTTATCATATTCATTCCAGTACCCAACCTCCTTAAAGTTCGACGGACAGACAGGATGGATGAAATGAAATTTCAGAAAGCTCGGTGGTCACGTGCTTCACACGGTATTCCGCGAGTCATGCAAATCCGATTGGTATTTCGTGCCGAGATAACTTCGAACGAGTCCTCGATTCCTCGAGTGTCTCGGTATCGGCTATTCCAGTCGTTTCTTTCGAGCCTCTTTTGCAAATCTTTCGATCGACGATGTTGCAGGGATGATGATTGCTCGAAGGGAACGCTTGGGTCAAGGGATAGGACATAAATTTGTTCGCCGTAGGAAATGAGTCTCGAACAAGCGAATTCAGAGACTGAATAAATGGATCAGGACTCGATTCTTCATGCGTAGATCATTGGAATGGATTTGTGTAACCAGCATAAGACTCGTTTGTATCTTTGACGAATTAGCACGTTGACACGCAATCGTCGGACAAGTTTTTCGATCGTGGCGAAGTGAATCATATTATAATTCACTGAATACTGAATAAAACTGGTAACTTGGTAAGGGCAGAGGAATTGAGAAACATTCTATCAATTCCATGTATTCATTTAATTAATCAAAGTGATTGTATTGTTCAGAGTGAGAAGTTGTAAATGTTTCTAGACTCTACCTCGTGCACGAGACGTCATATCCTCATTATTTCCGGCTATGTATTAATGTTAACGAAGGAGAGATCAGTTTCACGGATGTCTGTTCGTTCGACGCGCCCGCAGCTTTTTAAAGGGTGTTATAATATGGCGTGGTGAGAGACGATATACTGCACTGTGACGATACCGAATCATTGTACATGTATATACATAAATCGAGAGAGGAAAAATAAAGGAATGATACGACCAGCGAGTGGAATTATTTTTCCTCCGGGTTCGTTCCTTGCCTTTTTTGTCACGGTTGAATATAATCCGGCTCGTGGGGTGGAATACGAAAACGCGACACGTCTGTGAAGCAATTTAAAAGAATATTAAACTCTGTTGTATTTTAACTTCAATTATTTTGGCCAATTTTTTACAATTCATTTCGTTGAAATATGTTATTGCAAGATTTATTCTGAAGGTTGGTTGGAAAGTTGGTTGGAAAAATCGTCGTGGAAATGAGGCATACTTTTATGAGTTGAATGTGTTTTAACTCCAATTGTTTTGGGTAATCATTTACAATTTATTTGGTTTTTCTGAAGTATGTTGTGAGGGAATAATTCTAATATGGTTTGAAAGATTATTGGAATAGTGGATTTGTAATACTGGATTCTTAATTGGTCAATATTAGAGAAATTAATTCGATTTTATTTTAAATTTAGGCACTCTGACTTTCTATAG